TCTGTTGAAAGTAAAAAGAGGAAACAGATTATAAATTAGAAACTGTGTACACTTTACTCTTTGAATATTTCTGTCTCTGATGAGAAAATTAATAATGATTGGTTCAATGTAGAATAACAATAAATCAATTAAAGGATAATATTCAAGTATATATCAGATTCTGTCCTTGACCTTAGACTAGACAACATCAAGTAAATGAAATTTTTGCTTTCAATTGAGAAAATGGTTCAAGACAAACACATGCACACACACACACACACACACACACACACAAACATATCCTGAAATAATTGATATTATTTTTTATTGATTTTAATAAAATGCAGTCTACTGTTTCTCTATTATTACTTGTAATTTTAATGATCCCACATTACCTTGGAAGATCTACACGGTTGTTGTTTGTTATCCTTGAATGAATAATTTGTATCGACCTAAATTAACAGAAATATATTTTCTGCTTGGAACAAAACTCAATTACTTCACAAAGTTGAGCATTTCTTTTACACATTATGCTTAGCATTTTTTAAATTTTTACTTTATACATTGATATACCTTACTTTATCTACAAATGTATATTTAATATTGCCTCTTGATAGTCATTTATTCATTCCACAAGAGTGAAGCATTTTAACAAACTAATCTTTGCTACTTATTTAGATAAAACAGTTTTATGCCGATTATTGTTGTTTTTTTTCTTGTACCAAAAGTGATTGCCTTATGTTTTTTTTTTTTTGTTTTTTTTGTTCCCTTATAACTCATTCTAACAATAGTGGTTATATTTTTCAATAAAGGAATAAAATATTAGAGTATTTAAGTGAATCAAAATTATTACTTGGTATCTGTTATTAAACTTTAGGTTAGAATTCTTCGGCCTATTCATTGTTTTTTCAAAATTTTTTTTTAATAACATGCCTAGTAATACTACTAGGCAAGCACAAAAAAATTCTATAATCAAACAAATATTTCTTTATAGTGATATCTAAACATAAAATTACTGTTGTCACTCTGTGGATCAATTAAAATCAAATTAAATCACTTTGTAAGATTTAACTCTACTCAATAATTGTACCCTAGTTACATTTAACCATTATAACACTTTATATCTTATAATGTCTTAATGACATTAAGTTACAGTGTATATAAAACATAAAATTGGGACCCATGGTAAATTGTTAGATAGAAATTGATGAGTTGTATAGAGTGATTTTATAGAGTTTTGTTCAGTCAAATAATATACAAATAAGCAACTTTAATGCAATTAAATGGTAAAACAATAGTCATTTAAAAATGGTTTTAAGTCTTGTACTTTGAACCAGAATGTAAAGAAATATACTTTCTACAAAAATTAATTACTTTAGCTAATAATTAAATCAATAAAAAGATTACAAAATGAAAAAGAAGTTTTATATTCAAAGATTACTACCCACTTTAGATCCTTGACTGCCATCTGTAATCCCTAGGGAAAGAGGGAAAGCAGATTATGATGCGAATCTTGTATGAGGAAGTTCAAAGTAGAACATATTGACAAAAATGCAGAAATTAGATAATATTGAAAGAAGTTTAAAAATTAAAATATTCATTTCTTTTATATAATCTATCCTTTCATTATATGGGCAAACATGGCTCTCCACAACTTACTGAGAAAAAAATGTATAATTATTTGTACATTTATGTTAAGTGAGTTTAATAAGGTGCAATAAATATGGAAAAAAGATTAAATTCACTGCAATGTAAAATTTTCAATGGAAAAGATGGTTTATCTGCTGTCAAAATATACTTGGTTCTTGCACTGAGTGGTTCATTTTAGCAGTCAAAAATAGATGTTTCCATATGGTCATTTGGATATTACAACTGAAAATAGCTGTTCAGTTGTTAATGCCTTTTAATTTAACATTCGTTATTATTTGGTAAAACTGAGAATTTTCCATTTGCTTACTTCTATATAGCAATGGACCATTGATTGCCTTTCTTGATTTTAGTTTACAATTTTCTTTCATAAACTTTTGTTTTGCATTCTCCTGGGGTTTTTTTTTTTGGTGGTGGGATTTGTTAATGTTGTTTTTTGTGCATGTGTGTTTCTTTTCTTCAAACTCCTTCCAGTAAACTTTTAAGTTTTACAAAAATTTACCTTAAAAGAAAAAACTAACTTTAAATAGAAAACTCAAAATAAGAAAAGAGAAGGAATTCACCATCAGCCATATGCTTGATCTTGTCAAAATCTATCTCAAAATCATTGCTAAAAAGGTATCATTGAGGTAAAAAAAATGTTAAGAAAAATTTAAAACATCCCCACAGGACAAGTTTATAAAATGTATAACTTTTTCCTCCCACTTTGTTTTCTCCTTTTTATTTTGTTTCCTCTATTGGCAATTTAATTCTGCTGACTTCTATAAAGGTCAGACGGTGACAATGTCTTTTACTATAAGCTGACTATCAAATCAACTTAATTGCCAATGGGAAGGAAGACAAATGATGGAAATTTTGAAGTCTATATCAAAAGCATTATAATTTTATATCAGAATAGTTGACATTAACAAATTGCTGATCTTTTTTCCTATTTTTCTACCAAAATGTTTTTCTCTAGTACTCTTTACTCAAGTTTTTAAAAAATTGGAATTTTTTTGTATATTTCTAGCATTTACACATAAAACTATATCCTTTGTTGTCAGATACAGTTACATAATTTTTTTTAAAAATATATTCTATGTGATATTGTCTGACAAGTTTCTTTTATACAACTTTCAAACTTGAAACAAATATTGAAGCTGTTGAGCATTTTCATGAGTCTTCTGATATTGTGCCATTTATCTTACAGAATTTGTTTCACTTGTGCTAAATAAATTACCAAAAATATTCTTTTAATTTATTTTTATCATAAAAAATATTATTGTTAATTTCCTGTAATCTTAATTCATGAGATTAGTTATGATTAAAAAAAAATATCATGAAAAAAATTGAATTGATATTTCAATATATTTTTAAAGACTTGTTTCTCCTTATTAACAAGTTAACCATTCAGCAATCATATACCAATATTATTTCATCTTTTTCTGATTACTTGCATATAATTAATATATTTCATGAATATTTATCAAAAATAGGACATCTGGTTAATGATTTTTTTGTGTAATTATCTTTATTATTTAACATGCAAATAACTGATGTTATTTTTACAAGTGACAGGAAACTTGGTAGATCTTGTTTTTAAAAAATTACATTGAATTTTATTTTCTCTTCCACAAGATGATATTCACAATATAATTATAAATACTTTTCAGTTATCTCTTTAGAAATTTAAAAATAGATAACTAAAAGTGAAGATATTTTTCTAAATATTTGTTTTTTAATGATTCTCATAAATGATCTGCTACCTGAAATGCAGTAAGTATTTGAAAAAATAAAGGTGAATTTGAGGTAATTTTAACATTTTTTTAATACCTGGTTTAAGATGTTAAAAATAAGACTGCTCATAACATTTGAGGGATTCTCACTAAAACTTGAATATGAGCTATAATTCCTTTACAGAATAAGTTTTTTTTCTCCATCAAATTTCAGGAACTTAAATCAGTATAGCACAGTGTGTATGTAATTTTCATACATGTACATATAATAATTTTATTTTTGTATGTTGGTATTTAAACCAATCATTATTTTCTTTTCAGTTTTAAATTGTCTAAACTTATTCAATGCAATACAAAATTTCTGTTCATAGTTTGAAGCTGCTTCTGCCTCAAGATCTATACCACTGAATATCTCATTACTGAGACATTAATACTTAATAAACTATTTTGTTTTTAGAAGAAAATTTCCTCTTCAGCACCTGTATATTTTTGTTGTTGTTTTTCGTTAGCTTCCAAACTTTAATTCTTCTTTTTAATATTATTTCCAGATTTTCTTACTATTTTTTCTTTAAATTCTTTTTTGTTCATTATTCCAAATTGACAGGAATGTTCATGAAATTTGATTTAAAGTATTAAAAAAAAATGAATTAAACAAGAATTGATTTCAATGATAAAATATCAAGATCAGGAAGAGACATTATAATTAGATTTTCCTCATCTTCAGCCACAAGTGAGATAATTCTTAGCAGCAATTTAGTGTGTGATATGTGCTCTTCTTGGCAAATGTGGTGTCAGTGGGCTAGCAAAAGGTTAGAGGGCAAGAGGTTCTCTTATAAGGAAATATTTTTTTTATACACCTTTAGGTTCTAAATCAAATTCTCTATCATTTACAAATATATCAATTCATATCTGCATATCTAAAAGTACACATGCACATTAAAACACAAACCATCATTGTAGATGTGTATTATAGGAAAATATAAAGGGCATATGTTGAAAAGTATCCAGATGTTTGGTCATTGAAATATTGATTTATAAGAAATTTTCAGCACCCACTCTTGCAAAAGTAGGTCGAATAATGTAAGAAATATTGTTTGTATGATATAACTAATGAAAAACACTTTCTGTTTCTGCTATTAAATCCTAAATATTTAAACTATCCCTATTTTTAAAATGATGAATTCACTTTTTTATTAAGTTTAACTATAAGTGGAAAGCTACTGTGTCTACCTTTTGATGTTTGACATATTTTATCTTTCATTGAATGCTTTTATCAAAAATTATATACATTTTTTGCTAGTATTTCTTAAAATTTTCACCTTTGGCCTATTAATACTACATATGTATTTGTATTTTATTTATCAAATGCAGAATTAGTTTTCATGTTATAATAAAATAAGTATCAATGGAAATTAAACATTTTTAAGGGAATAGCTCAGTGTTTAAATATTCTCCTGATAAAGAAACCAAAAATGAAACAAAAAAAAAAAAAATACCTCTTGATTTACTATAGGCATTGTAAATCTTCTTTTAGTTTAAATTATGAGTTTTTTGGGTTTTTTTTTTTCTTCTATTCTCCTTATCTGCTTTCCTTTGTCTAAATTGAACTGTTTTCACCAATTTAATTTTTTTCTTTTGTGTTATTTTTTTCTTTCTTAGAAGAAATTCTCGTGCAAAGGAGGAATCTTCTCCAGACCAATTCTATATTGATCAAATCCTTAACCGACATGCCCGAAAGTTGCTCAGCTCACATCGACTTCGAGACCTGGGCATGTTTTCAGCTAATATGCAAGATTTTCAGTTAGTTGGATGGCTTCGGAAGGAAAGGTAGGTTTATTTATAAAAATATTAACATTTCATGTTTATATTCACTGTTTTTTTTTGTTTTTTTTTTGTACATATTTAGATGTGCCCATTTATCTCTTATTTCTAAAGTTGGCATGTGCTTTTTCGCATTAATTTTTTTTATGGTGTTTGTATGCATGTTATGAACATCTTTTTATAAAAATGATTTTCTTTTGATTGTGGCCTAAAATAGAATTGGAATACAAAGTGCAAAATCTTGCATTCAAATAGACATGTATATTTAATGAGAATTATCTTTATTTTAGAACATGAACATTCAATTTTGCAAAATCATTGTATTTGGTGGCATATAAGAACTACTCTCTACCCTAATATTAGAATTTTATAAATCTAATAAAGGCACAAAAAGAAACTTCTTTTAAGCTGTGTCAAGGAGGAAACCTGTCCATTTCCAGTGACATTCAATGGAACATCCAACAATTTTAATCTGAATATTTATTACTAAGGGAGGTGATAATCTTATGTCAGCAGTTGCTATGAAAATACTTTTAAAAAAGATATAGGGAAGCTACAGCATGTCTGTAAGAGAGTGACTGTAGATGAGATGCCAGATTTGGACCTATCACATTGCATATTTGTCTGTGGATTTTGTGGAGGATCTCTAGATGAATAGCATTTATCTATGTATTTGTGTCTGTACTGGATCCTAACTCAACAAATGTATCAAACATGGTTTACTCTAAGGTTTGATAATGAATTTATTATTTCTATTTTCAATCTATGAATACCATAAATATTCAGTTTTACTCCATTTTGTTGAAGCTAGCAGGTTGATGAAGTTTATTCTTTTCTGCAAGAATATGGCTTCAAATAGTGAACTCAAACCTAAATTCATTCTTTCTGGCTTAAAACCAACAAAGTATCTATCAATATAAACAAAAGCATATTTAAAACATTCAGTGAAAAAAAATCAAGGAAACTAAGCTATAACTAAGGAACTGATGAAAATATTTTTTAAGTTTGTATTAATAACTATGGCTATTTTTTATTAATAAAACTAAACCAGTTAAATGTAGAAAATTTTTATAAGATCTTATATATTATGTATATTATGCCATTTTCAATTTTTCATTCTTGTTTTCTGTTCTATTGAATATAGAGTATACTTATTAATAGAAATATTTTATTTTATAAACTCTGCCAAGAAATGGCTTGCTTCAAAAGATTAACTTTGCATTTTCAAACATAACACTTCTATTTAAAAAAAAAAAAAGTAGTTCAATCTGACAATACCATACAGAATATCCATTCACTATCTATGTCATCAAATAACTTGCTATTGTCTGTCTATAAAACATATACATTTGTCTATTTCAATGTCACTATGGATTTTTAGAATCTAATCTATATTTTTTCTCAATCATGTAATCCATTAGTAATAGGGGCATCACATGTACAGCAGTTGCTGTGGTGTGTCTTGAGCAAGATAGCCTGATGAAGCCCAACCCACTCCAGGATAGTTTGAATTTAGTTATTCTCCTAGACTGGTTGCCAATCAAGGCTAAATGACCCAGTATGATCTGCTATATATCCTTAGCTGGAGAGGGAGAAAATGGATTAAAACCTCTTTTTCCCAAGAGTACTTATGCATAAGTGAACTTAGCTTTCTAATTTCTCATTCTTTTACCCCGCTGCACCATTACTTATTTTGTCTAAAATATCTGTCACTCTTACTAATTACTACTTTCCTCAAATATCCAAATTAACCCTTATAAAATGCTGTGTAATATGTATTAAAATCTTCCTCTTTCACTCTTACATATTTGACCAATAAATAATACAATATTGTGTCTTTATTTAAAATAATATTATTGAATATTTCGTTGATATGCTTAATTACTATATTTTATGTAATTCTTATTCATATTATTTATCCTTCATTTTTCCTCCTCATAATTCTGCATAGTCTTGTTCATTATAATAAATGCATTGTGTTGTTTTGTCATATACTTCACATAATTTATTTCTAAACAAATCCTACAGATTTCTTCTCTGCCCAAAGTTTTTCCATTGAGGTTTCAAAAATAGACAGAATTTTCAGGATCTCAATGTAATTCATTATTAATTTTTTAGAAAAATCAAGTGGGGAAAATACCTTTCTAGATTAATTACAACAGAAGATTTACTTTGATTTTATTTGAAAAAAAGAAAAAAAATCAATGTGTAATTTAACAGATTGTTTGGAAAGAGATGAGAATGTAGTTTCTTAATTGAACCTGCTATTCAATTAAAGTAGAATGCATGCCTCTCAAAAAGTGTGGAAATAAAGACAAAAATTATATACTTTCAACATGTAAGAAAATATGTCCAAAATGTGTATCCTGCAAATTAGTTGGTTAGAAAGTGGGGGAAAATATTCACTGTTTATTTAATTCTTGTGAAGCCATTTAGAATGTAAATAGTTTAATTTCAACTTGTAAGAAAACAATCAAAACCTTTTTTGTGCATTCAAAAATACTTTTACATTTAAAATCAAAATGTTTTTTCTTGATTGTTCACCTGTTCAATATTATTAGATAATAGAATGAATAAATTTTCCAATTTTATCAGGATTTACTGGCCTGAATTTATCAGAACATTTAAAATGAAAGGTGCAATTAATAAACCTGTATTCCATGCACATTTATGCCATGCTTTATTTCAACCTGAAAAAAAACCTTTCCTTTTTTAAGCATCAACAAAATGCATATCCTCAGAAAGGAAGTTGAGCTATTAAATTGCAAAAGTTTACTTTGTTTTTTTTTGTTTTTTTTGTTTTTTTGTTTTTTTTTTGGTGCTATTTTGGAAAGCAATATCAGTTGCATATCAAAAGAGAAAATCAACTAAAAACACAGGCATTTTCTGTTCCTGACTGTTCCTTACGCTCTTTGTCATATGAACACTTTTGTAAATTAATCAGATTAAAAATTTCATTGGTATGTTGATCTTACGCTTTTATCATATATGAAGAGTATTTAATAACATTATCAAGAATGAAAATTTGGCCATCACTGCAGACTCATTTATTGTTTTTTTTTTGTTTTTATAATTTCACTCCAAGTGAGGTAATAATGTCACTAAGACACCCAGGGGTTACTGGGAATGAAAGCGAATAATAAGACTCTGGTGAAGAGAAAAGACAATAAAAGAACAGGGTTCAGGAAGATGGAATCTGGCAATTGATGCTGCATTCAAATTTTTGGAGATCATAGATGGCAGGGAAGTAAAAAAAACTAGAAAAGAGTTCCACACATGAGAAGTGCGAAAAAATAAACTATTAGAATAGAATTTATGGTTATGTCTTCCCATCAATATAGAAGGAATTTGCATTCTATCAGTATGTGGAATAGTTCTAAAACTCTATAGTAGTCTTGGCAGTCTATGGTGTCTTTGTATGGGGAAAAATGCCTTTAACCCCATTTTTACCATCCGCAACATTCTTTCTGCAATTCTATTTAATTGTGGGTTGTATGGTGGTGTTTTATAAGGGAGGCATCCAAGTTTCATCACAAAATTCTGGTGCATTGTCAGAAACTAACATTTTTGGCACCCCATTTCTGGAAAAATATTACTCATAATATTTGCTTCACTGTAGCTGCTTTCCTATCCTGATCTCTAACCACTTCAGGCCATCCAGAGAATGAGTTAACCAAAATTAAAAATAGTCCCATACTTTTAACATGTGCATGATCCATATGAATGCAGGCCCATGGCACTTTTTCTTTAGGCTGTGAATGTATCTTAGTCTGGTAAGTTTTTTTATTTCCCTACATTTTGGCCATTTTTTGTACATATTTGTCTACATCATGCAAATACCCAGGGCAAACATGTTTCCAATTTTAATTGTTTTTGTGTTGCTACTATTCTACAAGGAATATTGTGTATACTTTTTGTTATGTCCTTTTTAATCACTCTGTCTGTATTAAAACATCTCCATTGCATATAAGACTCATCTCTATAGTTAATCTGTGCCTTATCTCTTTATAGGGTCTTTGGAAATCTGGTATTACCGATTATATTATTGTGTTGCAATTTAACACATTTATTCTTGTTTATGGTCATCCCAGCATTTTTTAATTTGTTTAAAACATAACCTGTTTTTTGTTTTAGCTCTTCTCTACTGGTAGCACCAATACATATATCGTCTTGTTAGATGATCATATTCTTAACATCACCAGTTAGTACATTTTCAATCTCTTTGAAAAATAGAACTTGCTGTTTTTAAACTATAAGGATTATGCTTCCATCTGAGTAAGCCTATTTGAGATTTAATCATAGTGACCTCTTTAAATTTTTCCTCAATTTGTATCTAGTTATAAGCAAATTTTATATCCATTTTAGCAAAGTGTTTCATTTAGGAATAGGGAATGAATCAGAACATATTTTGTGGTTTGTTCTTATGTAGTTCCCCACATATCCTTAAATCTCCATCTGGCTTTTGTAAAACAACAGTGGGTGAGACCCAATTTCTACCACCAGAGGGAACAGTTCTAAAATTCCTTGTTTAGCCATTGTTTTTAATTTAGCAACTGTTCAAAGTAGCATGTGAAAGATCAGTCTGAAAAACTCAAAGAGAGATGACTATTTTTTTTTAATTCAATGCTTGTATCCTTTTAACATTCTCAGTGTCATTACTTTCTACCTTCACACTATTAATTAATTTGATTGTATCCACATCCAAGACAAGTCTGTCTCAAAAGTTCCTTCAAAACAACCTAATGTTTTGATGAAAGAGCCATTGAACTGTCTTAGTTTAAGCCAACTTTTATTTGAGTTTGCTTATTTGTTCCCAGAAATTTATTGGGATTAGGGTGACATCACTCCCAGTATCTATTTGCATAGATATACTATTCATTTTAATTTTTTCTCTAGCACTTTTCTCTTTGTCTCACACATACAGCTGTATTTTCCTGAAAGGGGTTTAAATTTCCTACCTTTTTCCATTTTTCTTTTATACTTGCACACTGACTGGAAATGTTTTTTCTT